TAGGACCTCTAGAATTACAGTGCGTAAAGCCATGACAGGTTCCTGGAAACAGAAGTCACTGTCTTTAAGAAGCTGGGAGTGTCGCTGCCACTTCAGATAAATCTCGGTGAGTTGCTGGTTAGTAACAGATCTAAAATCACAGAAGTTATGAAAGAAAAAGAATGAAGCTGCTATTAACTCTAGACAAATATTAAATATGAGACATGAAAGATTACTGTAAAGAACCAAGGACAACAAAACTACCTAAAAAGTTCACAAATTAAAGTCCAAGGAACAAATATCCCCAATCTGTGAAACATGTTCAAGAAAGATGGCTTCAAACTGGATCAGAAACACAAAGAGTCTATTAGGATGATCAGGGAGATGGACAGCTTATCTTATGGGACAACCTAACAGATTTTAGTTAACCAGAAAAATAAAACCTGAAAAGACCATGACTGCTTTTTATAAATACCTCAAAGGAGGGAAACAAACTGATTACACTAAAGGACAACCCTACCAGAAGAACTAATGGATATGAATTTGCCACACAGGGGTTTATGCATGTGCTTTGCACGCGGGGGGAAGAAGAGGAACACACACGACACGCTTTAATTAGAGCGCCCAGAGCGTCTCGTGTGTCAGCATCTCTGTGCTTAAAAATGGTGGCTGGGGTGCTTTATCTAAAGCTACTTGAACATGCTTTAGATAAAGCGCCTCTGCCACTGTTTTTAAGTGCAGGGATGCTGATACATGAGATGCTGCAGTCTGCTGGAGCACAGTAATTGCCCTACTCCAGAAGCTTTGCTGCTCGTGTATAGGTGTCCAAATACGTTTAGGATGGAAACCAAAGGGCATTTTCTAACCATCAGAGGAGTAGAAGTTCTGGGAAAGTTTTCCAGTAGGAGTGGGGGTCCAAAAACAGCCTTAATAGGTTTTATAATGGACCCTGATAAGCTCTGAATGGGATTATCTGACAAAGTTGTCTGCGTTAGGGACTGGACTCAGTGGACATCTTGGTCAGTCCTGTGCCTTCTGAACACGCAGTTTAGAATGATGGTGCCTAAACCATCCAGCCCTGTGGGCCAGGTGAATGGCACTGAGTTGATCTGCACACCCAGTTCAGCACACGGGGCCATAAGATTCAGTCTATAGAGTTCCAAATGGGTCCAGAAACTTGGCAGCAGGGGAGCAGTTTCAGTGTTAATTGCTGTGGCTCACAGGGATGCCACCTAAGTAAATTAGTTCTAAAAAGGAAGACAAAAACACCAGCCTCAGATGATAGGTTGCTTAAAAAAGTTGTCAGGCTCGTAGCTAGGATGACAGGTGTAACAGGAAGGGACAACGTACCTGGAAAAAATCTGTCCTATGTTTTCCAGTTCTCCAATTGCCTGTAATCTACACAGTGTTGGATATAATGAATATACAGACTCAAGACTCCCTTTACACAGCTCCTCTACTTCCTTCACCCTAAGGATACAATACAGAAATGCTGAGTACCTTTATTTATTGACAGCACAGTTTCCATAAGCTGAACAAAAATGAAATATAAAAGATGCTGAACTGAGACATGTCTTCTGTTTCAGTTAGGGAAATATGTTGGATTACTACTAGAACCTAAAATCCAAGGTTTCTGAGAATCTAAATGAAAATCTATAGGATTTATTTTTCCTTAGATGTGTTGTCTGATTTTTCTTTTGCAGATCCTTGCATTAAACAGGGATGCAGAGGAAACAGATGTATGTTATAGGTAACTGTAAAAGAAGATGACTTCTCTATTGCAGGTAACATCTCTTAATTTTATTTTGCATACTTCCACACTGCCTTTAGTTGTTATCATCAAAACTACTAGTACTCTGACAAAAATGGTCCTGCTGAGACAAGGACTTCTGCCAAAATACCAGCAGCTGGTTTCTCTCTCTTTAGGAGAAGTATTGAGGGACAGAGAGAGAG